TGGTGGTCGTGGTGGTCGTGGTGGTCGTGGCGGTGGTCGTGGAGTGGAGATTTGGATGTGTTGGTCTGAGCTCTCCGTGCGCCGACCTCTGTCTGAGCCTTCCTTCGCGCATCGAATCGCATCGCCTTTGCAGGCGTGGCTGTGGTGCGCACGAGAAGCCACTTCAACATGTGGCCGCTCTCTCTCACTCCACCTCGCAGCCGCACGCTCAAAATCGCGCGAAATTGCAGATTCGAGTCGGCCCAGCTTAGGGGCGCCACTGCCCCTTTCGAAGAAGCAAAGTGTTAGACCCTGTCTTCTGTCAAGCAAGCAGGTTTATTTTACGCGAGCCAGGGTCTGCCGGCTGGCCGGAGCGGCGATGCTTCGATGCGCCGAAGCGGCAGCAACGTGGACAAACTCATGCAGCAGCCGCTTTGACCGATTTCCTGCCGATTCAAATTGCGACCCTGTTTTTGCGGTGCGGTGTGGGTGAAAGTGCAGCTTAAATTGGGTCGAGAAATGTGCGCTCGCTCAGCGTGGAGGTCGCACCCGCTCGCTTCCACCACCTTGTTGCTCTCCTCCCATCCCCCTCTCATCACTACTCCTGCATCTCGACCGGCGCCAGAGGTGCTTCATCTTCCTAGCGAGCACAGCCATGGCGCTTGTCTGCACGGCAACACCAACGCTACAACTCTGGTGATTCCAACTCGCAACGCAATGGCTGGTCGTACACACGCGCTGCGGCCTCCCTCTTCGGTCTAAGCTGCGCGGTCCACACCAGCCTTGAAACGACGCTGCCAAGATGTCGTCATCGGCACATCACCCTCACGACGGCAGCGCCGCATCCACCACGGATGCCCAGCTCAACTCGCCTCCTCCGTTTCCAGCACAGCCGCAACGCCACCACAGCAGTCCACCACCCGTCGATCTCGATCTTGATCTCAATCTCAATCTCGATCTCGATACCCCCGCTCTGCCTCCAGCTGCCCTTATGCCTCCAGACGTGCCTCCACCACCACGCAGGCCCGCCAATCGTCAGGATGCACTCATGGACGATGCTCTCCGCTCCCTCCCTCCCGCCGCGGAGCGCAATACCCACCGCCACAAATCGCCCGCTACTGTGCTCTCCATGTTCAACACCAACACCTTTGCCGCCGCCTCTCCAACTCCTCCTCCCCCGCAGCAGCAACATACCCAATCATTCGCCTATCCGCCGCCCACTGCATCCTCCTCCAGAGCACTGCAGCGCACCATCACCTCAAACACCGTCAGGAGTGCACGCAGCGTCGGCAGCGACTCCACCAGCTCCTCCCATCGTCACAGGCTCAACCCCATTCGCACAGCCTTCACCAAGGTAGCCAACCTCGCCACGCCCATGAGTCCCAAGCACATGCCCTCCTCCGCCACCATGTCGCCCACCCTCGACCGCAAACGCTCTTCCATGGCACATGCAACCTCCGTTCAAAAGACAAAAGAGGCTCGTAGAGCCGCCCGTAGAGAGGCAAGGCGCGCAGAACGTCGCCTCCGCCGCCAGCGCGACGCCCAACTACAACTCGCAGACGATGAACACGATCCGCCACACTTCAGCCCACGCCCAGCCCACGCCGCACAGCTGGGCGACGAGATCGTCGAGCTGCCAGCAGAGCCGCCCTTGGACGTCCCCGAAGCAAACGCTCCCACCGCCACAGCGCTTGCCATGGCTTCCAAAGTCGGACGCAAGCCAAAGCGCAAGCTCCAATTTGCGCCCGACCAGAGACGCATCCGCAAGGTCGATCTCCCAGACAGCTTCGAGGCAGAAGATACCTACCGAAACCTCGACCAGTACGTCGCCGATTCTCGCCAGCGCAGACGCACCCAACGCGGCCGTCGCGGCCGTCGCGGCGCCAGACGCCGTGGTTCGCGCTCCCAACGCGGCTCTCGCAGCAGCCGTGCTAGCCGCAGCTCGGCTCGCAGCAGCGCATCGGGCGCATCCAGCAGCTCCTCCTCCAGCTCGTCCTCGTCCTCCTCTTCGTCCAGCTCCTCTTCCTCTTCGTCCAGCTCCGGCTCCGGCCATGGCATCACCATCGCCCGTCTACGAGCCTTCTTTGGCGACGGCTCCAGCTCCTCATCCAGCTCCGACTCGGATGACTCTTCGTCCTCCTCCTCCTCGTCTTCATCCTCTTCCTCTTCATCCTCATCATCAAAGAGTTCCTCAACTACCTCTGATGGCACGCGCTCCAGGAGATCTTCTTCTCGTCGTCTCTCCTTCTCCAACATACGATCCGCCAAGTCGCGACGCGCCACCCGCTCCCGCGTCCGCGGCGATCAGTCCGAGGCGAGCGATGCTCCCGGCTCACCCATCTCGCACCGCAGGGCGCCGCTCACCCCCTACTTTGGGCCTCTCTCCGACTTTCCTCTCGGCAAAAAGGCCGCAGAGAGGCGCCAGAACAAAAAGGCAAGGCAGGCTGCGCGCCGCGCCAAGAAGCGCGAGGCACAGCTCATCCGTCAGGGTCGATTGCCGCCCAAGCCAAGCCGCAGCGCACGCGCCAAAGCCATGCGCGCAAAGGAGCTCGCAGGCGGCGTCACCGAGTATCAGCTCTTCACGCCAATGCGCTTGCCCATGGATCTCGCCTGCACCGCCCTCCCCACTCTCGAACCTACCCCGGATCCACAGTCCGGCACCTCGGTCGTTCTCAAAAAGACCATGAGGACGCAAAGCTGGGAGCAGGTCCGCAATCAGCTCTACGTGCTTCGCAACCATCTGAGACAGATCGACTCGCACGGCGGCGATATTGGCCTCGACCCGCAGGCCGCATACCCGATCCTCCATCGTCACCAACGCCACGCTGCCAAGATCAAGCCTGAACGTGGCTCTCACCACCACCATCATCGAGCAAAGAAGGCAACGCCCAAGGGCCATATTCCGCAAGCGGTACCAGAGGCACCGGAAGAGGACTTTGACCTTCTCGATGGCGATCTCGCTCTCCCACCTCCTGCACTCGATCTGCCCGAGGGCGCCATGGAGGCCGATGTGACGATGGACAACGACAGCGGTGTACGACCTGGCGGGTCCAGTTCCCGCAAAGGCTCGTCGCCCGACCAAGACACGGCGTCCTATCTGCATTACGACCGCCATCTGCCTGCCGATCAAGAGGAGGAAGCTCGCACCGGTCGTCATCTCTCCGACATGCCGCTCAGTCCGCACTACGCCGCCGTCTTCGGCAGCGACTTTGGCCGTCAGCCGCATCCCTTCCTGCCCGAGCCATCCTCCTCGGCGCGGCAGAGAAGCTCGGGTCGAGGTGCCGGATCGGATCCAGCATTGCACCCTATCGACGCCTCGCGGCCACCCATTTCGCATCCGCAGCGAGATGACAATCACAGCAAATCGGGCGCGTCGGCCGCATCGAGCGAAGCAACGGATCATGGAGCGTGGTGGCTTCACGTTCACTGCCCGACGTACCGCGACATGCACGAGATCTCCAAGCTGTTCCCCATGCACCCGCTCACCGTCGAGGACGTCTTGCAGCAGGACCCGCGCGAGAAGGTCGACGTATTCGACCGCCTCGGCTACTACTTTGTCGTCATCCGCGCCATCGACGAGCGATACTTCCGATACACATCGACCGCCGCCAAAGGGTCGCCGGGATTTCCGAACTTTGCGAGCACATCGTCCAGCACCACCGTGCACGGGGAGGCCGAGGGCAAGGCCGACACTAGCGGCGCGGGCGGGGAGGGCGAAGGACAGAGCTTTGAAATGCGCGAGCTTGGCGCGCAGAAGGCGGGCGACGACGGAGCGGGTGGTGAATCGCCTCCCGACGGCCATCGGACGCGGCTTGCCGCACCGGCGCGGCTGGGCAAGGGCCGCGTCGAGATCGTCGAGGGCATCGGCGGCAAAGAGGGTCTGGAGGGTGTCAGCGTGGGTGCCAACAATCTGTACCTGCTGGTATTCTCGCACGGCGTCGTGTCGTTTGCGTTCGAGGATGTGAGCAAGCACATCAACCGTGTGGCTGCGCGGCTGCTCGAGATCACGCGGCCCGTCGAGCTGACCGCCGACTGGATCGCACACGATCTGTACGACTCGGTGGTGGATGCCTTCTTCCCGCTCATCTCGTTTGTGCAGTCCGAGGTGGTGGAGGTGGAAGAGCTGGCGAGCGAGCCGGTGAGCACGAGTCGCAGTCGCAAGACCAACAACTTCGCACCCAAGCAGCGTCGGCAGCGTGCTCTGCTCGGATCCAACCCGGAAGGAAGGCTGATTAGCGTCGAGCCGGTTTCTCCCCTATCTACTGGGTTGGAGGTGGAGAAGCGGATGCCGATGCTCGAGGTGCGACGACTCAAGACGGTGCGTGCGGTGCGATTCTTGCCCGTGCTGCGACTGGGCGAAGGCGTGCTGAACCGGCTTCCACGCGTGCTGGTTAAGCAGCGACAGAAGGTGACCATCTCGCGGCTGCCCGAGTGGGAGTTCAAAGACACGCTCGAGGCCGAGATGCGGCGTACGGCGGCCGAGATCGACGAGGCGAGCAACTCGGTGTTCGACACGCAGGCGGCGGCGGATCAGAGCATCATGCTGCACCGCATCGCCGACACGCGCAAGATCGTCACGGGTCTGTCGCGGTTGCTCGGTCCCAAAAACGATGCGGTCAAAGGCCTGCGTAAGCGGCTTTCGGACATGCAGCAGTTGCAGCGTCGAGCCGAGGGAGCTCGACGGGTTGGAGGAAATAGCCGTAATCTGCTGGCACGGACGGAGGTTAGCATGTACATGTCGGATGTGCATGACCACATCATCTCCATGCTGCACCAGCTCAACTCGGGTGAAGGACGTCTGTCCGAGATCCACCATACTTATCTCGCGCAGATCACGATCGAGAATAGGCGGTTTAGACAGGGTGCCGATGCTGCCATCCTGTTTCTCGCGGGAATCGGTACCACCGTGTTCACGATCGTCTTTATCACCTCGATCTTCTCGGTCAATGTCGCCAGGCCCCAGAACGAACAGGGCACACATCATTTGGGCTGGTTTGGCGGCATCGTGGGTACCGCCGCGGTGGTGCCGTTTGTCATCTACGCCTACGTCCGCGTCTGCTGGATTAAGAGCAAACAACGCCTCGCCAACAAGCGCGCCGCCAGGTAGCAAGGCGCCGATTCTAGAAGCTAGCTCTCGCAGTAATTCAAACTTGACCGTTTTGCAAGACTGTCCAGTGGATGAAGCGACTGTAAGCTGAAAAGGCTGCGATCGTGCTGAGTATTGACAGCAGTGTGACAAGGGATGCCATCTCGGTCGAAAGCGCACACACGGGGATATCGGAAAAAAAGATTGATTGTAACAAGAGTCACGAGCTAGCCATCGAGGTCGGCCATCTTGTGAGGTCTAGTTGGTGCGATTACCACGAGGCCTTGGCACTGTGCGTTGCAACACGGTTCAAGTCAGCATGTGCTAGGATGAACTTGGGGCTACTTGAGGCAAACTTACATCTGGAACTTGGCGGCGACGAAGGGCAGGGAGAAGCCGACGACGAGGAAGGTGGTGAGGCTGATGGCGACGGGCACCTTGCGGGTGGGGCCCGAGGGGAACGGCACTGCAATGGGCAAATACTCGGTCAGTATCCCGTCATCCTTGGCGACTTCGATGAAGCTTTACTTACGAGACTGGAAGGGGCGATCGTCGAGGCAGAGCAAAGCATGGCGACATTCACAAAAGTCAGAATCGAAATCCCATCACATCTTCTCCTCCAATGATCGAATCGCGATTGGTGGTGCAAAGGTGGTCGGCTGCCACTTACGGTCTCGTGGGTGTTCTCGACGTGGAGGTTGCGGCGGAGCAGGGGGGCCTGCTGCTGGCGGAAAGCGGTGCGAGCGGAGCGCACAGTCTGGCGGGCGAGGATGGACATGGCGAAGATGCGTGTGTTGTATCGACGATAGAACTGGAGGAGGTCACGGTGGAGCAGCGAGAAGATGATGGAGCTCTGATGGCGACGGAACCTCTCTCGCTCCTCTGCGCGCGGCCGCACCGCTCATCCCGAAAGGCCGCCTTTGCTGCATGCCAGGCTTAGGCCAAACTCGGGTGCGAATTTCGAGCGCGGATTATGTCAGCCCGACAAAGAAAAGCAGACCCGTGAAATCACGTGCGGCCACCCTTTTTTTTTGAGGCTCAGTGTGGAGAAGCGCCCAAAAAAGCAAAATTTCCAAGCTTGCCGAAGGAGAGAACTCGACCCTTGCGCTCCTCACCACCGGCACCTATCCTAGACGCAATCACCTTCACCACCACCCTTGCTCGTCAGCCTGCTCGCATCTCTGATCGCATTGCCGCGCTGCATCCGACTTCTCAGGACCTCCCACATAATCAGCCTCATCGCCAGAACCCGGTGCCATCTCAGTCATGCCGGGCAAGCCAGAGGCATCGTCGTCCGCCGACGCCAACAAGCCGGCCTCGGGCTCGTTCAAGCACGTCGGCAACAAGATCAAGCGCACCGAGCTGTACCGCAAGTACAAGGCCGAGAAGCGCAAGTCGAAGCTCGCCAGGCGCTCCGCACAGGCCAAGGAGGAGCGCGGCGAGGACGGTGCGGCCAAGAAGGCGGCGCGCCTGGCGGCGAACAAGACGCGCACCATCGAGAACACGCGCGACTTTAACCCGACCATCATCAACGCGCCCAACACGCACGAAGGTCCTGGTCCGAGCAATCTTGGAAAGAAGAAGGCGGATGAGGCGGATGACAGCAACGAGGACGACGAGGAGGGTGATGTGGAGGAGGAGGTGCAGGAGCAGGAGGCAGCGGAAGAGATCGATGATGACGAGGACCCGAGCGCCCCACCGGCGATCTTGATCACCACGTCGATGCCGTCTTCGTCCACATCGCCGCACCTCGAGTCGCTCAACGCACGCTCGCATCCGTCGGAGCGCACGCGCGAGTTTGTCGACGAGCTGCTCTCCGTCTTCCCCGGTGCCGAGTACCGACCGCGCGCGAAAGCTCAGGGGGTGGGGCTCGGCAAGATCTGCGGGTGGGCGCGTGAGCGTCGGTACGATGCGGTGCTCGTCGTGGGCGAGTCGCGCAAGGAGCCGTTTGCGCTCACCGTGATCCAGCTGCCGCACGGGCCCACGGCGTTCTTCCGGCTCACGTCGATCAGCACGGGCGCCGAGATCTACGCCAAGGCACGCCCAACGCCGCACACGCCCGAGCTCATCCTCAACAACTTCACCACCGTGCTCGGCCACCGCGTCGGCAAGGTGATGCAGGGCCTCTTCCCCAAGATCCCCCAGCTCGAGGGAAGGCAGGTGGTCACGTGCCACAACCAGCGCGACTACATCTTCTTCCGCCGTCACCGCTACATGTTCAAGAGCGACTCCAAGACCGCGCTGCAGGAGATCGGGCCGCGGTTCACGCTTAAGCTCCACAGCCTCAAGGAGAGCCTGCCCAAGGGCGCGGGCGTGTGGGATGGAAAGTACACGGCAGAATATGCCGAACTTGAACCCGAGGAGCTCGAGGCGATGCAGAGTGCAGATGCCGACGCAGAGGCAGAGGCGGCTGCACATGACGAGGCGGGGCAACAGCACGGCAGCAGCACAGGCAACGACCCGCAAGCGCAAACAGCATCAGCCTCGTCGAAGAAGAAGCGCCAGCGTGGAGAAGAAGACACCACCGGCCTCGACTTCCAGTGGCGGCCCAAGATGTCGGTCTCGCGCCGCAACTTTTACCTCTAAGGCTACTATCCGCTGCTCTTTGTCCGCATCCCTGTACTTTTATCGTTTGCAAGCATGTCTGATCAGACCAGCCGTGTGAGTGTGTTGCAGGCAGTGGGTGTTGTAGCTTTGAAAGTAGTTGCGAATTGTTGGTAGTGGCTCGGAAGAAAGTGCGTCGCGCGGGAGGCGTTCGAGGTTGGACCCTGAATTTCTGCGTGTTGCGCACCGAACTGAATCTGTCTCCATCATCTGCGCCACCACCATCTTGGACGCTGCGGGGGGATACGCACGATGAACGCGCAGCTGCTGAATCCGTTTACGATCGACATCCCGGACTCGGTGGCGAGCACGATCGAGGCGGCCGAATGCACCACGTGCGTATTCAACCACGGCCTCAACGCGCTGCACGGCCAATACCTCGCTGTCGGGCGCAGCGATGGCTACATCACCGTCTGGGATGTCGAGACCAAGTCGGTGGTACGGGTGCTTTCGGGCCACGTGCGTGCGGTCACCGCGCTGGCTTGGTCGTCTTACAACCGCTACCTCGCCAGCTGCAGTGCCGACTGGAACGTCATCGTCTGGGACCTCGCTGCCAAGTCCCACCCCGGCCCCGCACTGCGTTCCGCCCCCTCAACATCCGCAGTCCCACGCGATTCGAACGGCGAAAGCGCAGGCGTACCGGCGACGTCGGAGCGCAAAGTGACGCTGCGCTTCGATTGTCCCATAGCGTCGGTGCAGTTCGCACCGGGAAATAGCAAGAAGCTCCTCGTGGTGCTGGCGTCCAACCAGGCATGGCTCGTCGACATTACCGAAAAGGTGCGCGTCCGGCGTCGGGCGGGAGCAGGGATCGAGTTGGAAGATGTGGCGACTTCGCCGGTTCGCGTCGGGCTACACACGGGTGTTGAGGCCGAATCACCCGCCATCACCGCCGCGCGCTTCACACCGGATGGACGGTTCATCGTTGCGGGCACGTCGAAAGGCAGTCTTCTCGTGTTTGACTCGCAGACGGGCATGCCTTTGGACGAGAAAAACGTCCTCGCCACCACGTCGGGCGTCAAGAAGCTCGCATTCGACGCGCCCGGTCGACTGATGGTGGTCAACTGCAACGACCGCGCGCTGCGTGTTCTGGCTGTTTCCACCACCGAGCTCGGAGCAGGGGGTGAGGATGATCGCAGGACGAAACGCAGACGCACGTCTTTGGAGTTGACACTGCAACACAAGATCCAAGACATGATCCAACGCACCGCCTGGAACGACCTCGGCTTCTCGCCCGATTCGGACTACATCTACGCCGGGGCAGCTCACAAGGCGGCGCACAACGTGTATGTGTGGGACCGTACATCCGGTACACTCGTCAAGATGCTCGAAGGACCCAAAGACTGGCTGGTCGGCGTCGACTGGTGTCCCCATCGACCCATGTTGGCGTCGGTGAGCAATACGGGTACGATTTATCTGTGGTTTACACCCGCCGAGGAGATCTGGAGTGCCTACGCGCCCGGCTTCGAGGAGCTAGAGGAGAACATCGAGTACGAGGAGCGCGAGGATGAGTTTGACTTTATCGACGACCAGGACTCCAAGGATCGCCAGAAGCAGCAGGAACAAGAAGCTGCGCATGTGCGCATCCAGCCACACACCCTCACCGCCCCCACCACACGCGAGACACTCGATCCAGATCATCTCTTCGACAGACTCAACATTCCACACCAACAAAGAGGACAGAGAGACTGTCTGGCATTCCGAGCCATGGCGCGGTATCTACAACCGATCGAGGCAACATCACAGGACACATGGCAAGACACAGACGAGGTGGTGCTTGCGCGCGCCGACGACGACACGGCCGAGCTCTTCGTCATCCCGCCGCGTCTCGAGAGCGACTACTCCGACTTCCACCACGACGTGTAACAGCCACTAGAATCCAAACACGGCAGCAGCACTCGGGTTGGTGAGCGCATGCATAGCCTCCTTCCTGAACGTATCGGGCACAGTGGTGACATTGCCGCCCTTGAGCTGCAGCACCTCGCCCGTCGTATACCTCGTCCAGGGCAGACTCGACAGCCTGCTGGGATCATGATAGTACGTGAAGCTGACGTACGACCTGGGCATCTGTTCTTCCAGCTGCGGATCCTTTTGTCTGCCATCGGGTCGGATGAAGAGGTACTTGAGTTCGGAGCCGTGGTACGCGCCCAGCGCCGAGCCGGTTCCGTTCGGGTACATGTCGTTCTGCCTGAACTCGAACGACCATACGTTGCGGCTGTTCTTCCTGGCCGCGCCCACCGCGGCGTGCAGGTAGGTGCGTCGATGCGCGTTGAAGGTAAAGTCGCCAAAGAACGCCGCACTGCGCTTGTACTGGTTCGACTCGAGCGGCGGGTACATCCTCGACCCAACGTCCTGCGTAGCCGCCGAAGTGTTGGTGCCCTCGTTCGGGTACGGCGATCCCTGCACCGGGTCGTCCGGGTACACCTCGAAGACGCGCTGCAGTGCGCGCTCGGTGTAGGTGGTGTTGTAGATGACCGCAGCGCTGCGCACCCACGTCTCGAAGTCGGCGCTCGAGTTGAGCGCCTTCTGCGCAAAGAGCGTGCCTTCGTCCAGCGCATTGCCCGAAATCACGGGGATGTCGGCGAGCTTTCCCTGCGCCAGGTTGACGCTCGGATAGTCGGTGATGAGCGCGTAGTCGACGAGCGGTAGGAAGGCGAGTGCGCCGGGGATGGGGAATGTCCCGCCCGCCTTGGCGGTCAACTGCATGGCGGTGCTTTGGACCGCGGATGCGTTTGCGCTCCTCAGACACTCGAGCAGCGGCGCCTGGGTGCACCCCACGCCTTTAGCCAGCTGTTCAAACGTGCTCTGTACGGTCGGGTGGTGCGGCGTGAGCAGCGGGCCCGGTGCGATACCACCCGAGTCCATGATGGCGGCGTGGAAGAGGCCGTGAGTGTTGCCGTCGTACGCGAATGTCTGGAGCGCCACACTCATCGCGCCCGCCGACTGCCCAAAGATCGTCACCCTCCCCGCGTCGCCACCGAAGCGCGCAATGTTGTGCTGCACCCACTTGAGCGCCAGCCTCTGATCGTACAGCCCGGCATTCGGCGTGCCATCCGCGACAATCTCTTTGCCGCCGAGGAAGCCGAACGGTCCGACGCGGTAGCTGATGGCGACAAACACGATGGGTTTGCCCATCTGCGCACTGCGTGCCACGAGCTCGCTCGCATTGTACGCGGGCGTGCTGCCGGCGAAGAACGCGCCGCCGTAGATCCACACGAGCACGGGCAGCTTGGCGCCCGCCGCCACGCCCTTGGGACGGATGACGTTGAGGTTGAGGCAGTCCTCGCTCATGTTGAAGCCCGCGGGCGGCTGCATGCAGACGTCGCCGAACTGCGACGCGTCGATCAGGGCGTCCGAAGCATCGACGGGTTGGGGACGTGCGAAGCGCAGATCGCCAACGGGCGGCTTGGCGTACGGAATGCCCAGGAACTGGTCGAGCTGGTACGAGTCGTCGACCATACCCTTGACGGTGCCCTGAGGGAGGTGGACCGTGGGCTGGAAGCAAGAGGCATCGGCAGGAAGCGCAACGACCGAGCGCAGCGCAGCGGCCGCAGCCAGCAGCCACACTGAAGGGAGCCGCATCGCGAGTCAAGAGAAGAGGAGGGGTTGGAGAGGATGCAGAGGCTTGATGGTCCGTCGGGGAGGTCCCGACAAGACGTCGCTTTTATGTGTTTGTAGGGCAGCATAGGCAGGTGCTGCTGCCGAAGCGTGCTGCTTGCTACTACAGCCGAGCGCGAGGGAAGCGTCGGGGGTGCCGAAAGTGGGAGCAAGTGGCGACAAACGGCCAAAGACGACGGTGAATTGCGCCGGACGTCTGGTGAGCTCGCTAGTGGCAACGCGCATGTGGGCCACGCTGCTGAGCGTCGGTGCATTCCGAGACTGCGGATTCAGCCTGTTCTGTCAGCGCGTCCACGCCTCTGCACCGGCGGCCCAGCGCAGAATGACACCCACCGACCCTCATCGCAGCCTGGCTCGCGTCGATTCTCCCAACGGCATGGTGTATGGGCTTCCCATCCGATGCGGGGTAACCCTGCATATGCCGCAACAACAACGTCCATGTGGGGCGAGGATATGGACGTTGCAGTGTGGGGACATGGTTTTGACAGCCGTCATGGGGCGGAGCTTCGCGTCGAGTGTGGGGGTGCCGCCAAGCGAGCAGGATGGGTGGCATTGCGGCCGAGATGCACTCGAGGTCGGCGGTGGCAGTCGGCCGGTAGACGCTGGAAATGGCGGATCGGCGAATTCTTTTACAGGGTCCCGCACCGCTATCCGCATGGCCAACAGCTACAAGCGAGCGTCGTGGGAGAAAAAGCGGTGGCCCATGCATCGAGGGTTGCTCCACATCTGCAGACCATTGCTGCGTTGCTGGGGCACCAGGCGGGCAAGCACGGTCGGCTGTTTCCGAACAGGACGGCAAGCAGCGGTTGCAATGGAGCATGGCTGGAACAATGGCGCGGAGCGGACGACCAATCGCGGTAAGGCCGAGGATTAATCTCGCTTCATTGGTCTTGTCACATGGGCCGAGGCTTGATCGTCTCCCTCAGCATGCCAAGCCGTCATTGCTAGAAGAAGGACGGCACAGCTTCGAGAATGCATCGCTCGCTTGCTCGTTACCCGCTGTCCAACAGCGCCGGGTGGTCATAACGTGAGCAGAAGAATTGCTGCTGTTGTGCATGCCATGTCATGTCAGAGGGGCCACCTCATGCGTGCTGCTTGCTCTTGTTGCCCACAAGACCAGGATCGACGGATCGCTGGACGGCATGTGCGATGTCGATTGCGGATCTGGCAGCGATCGGCTGGAGTGGATCGGGGCATCGGATGCAGATTTTCATGCGTCGAGGTGCAAGGTCGGCATTGCGCCGAGGATGCTCCTGTGATGGCTGTTTCGAGCATGCACGCGCGAGGATGGGTTTGGTGGAAGCGAGGCTGGATGGCAGCCGCCGTCTCCGCCGTCTCCGCCCTCTCTCGGCCCCTCTGCTTATAAC